TTCGAGTCCCGCTGAGGATGGTAATAAGATGTAGGGAAGGTCAAAAGTGGAGTATATTCGAAGAAAAGTTGGGTTTCGAGTAATCTCTTGTTTCATAATTGTTGAGCTTACTTCCATTTCGAGTGAAAGTGTTGCGTGAAGAGATTGCAAGGTCGCTTCCACCAGAAGACGACGGCGGATTCCTCTTGACCAGCTGTCGATGGGCTTTACTGCACCATTCATGCTGATGCTGTTTCCGAGGCAATCTCCTTCGATTTCGGCGAAATGTTGCTAAGCTTTCGTTCGTCATATGACGAATATTATCGTCACAACAAAATTCAAGCTAACGAGTCAAGAAAACTCACCCACAAATCCGTAAACCTCTACATTTGGCCTTTTTGATCGAGTATAAAGTATCCGGCGAACCCGATGACTCTGGTGGGCTCTTAATTGTATTTTAGTTCGAAAATGTGTGCCCCGAGTTATTGTCAATTTTGGCCAATTTTGCATATTTACAAGATTCTTTATAGAATTATGTCATTCCTCATTCGAACAAGGAATCACATAATCCGGGCTTCGAAGAAAAACGTAATAATTTAATCTAATTCAGCTTTTAATTCCCAAAGAAAAATTTGGATGATTGTGCGAAGAAGTCTTGGGCTCATTGTCCTTCCTGCCCGATCCACCAGTGCTGAGCTGTCGTAGGTTCCGCTCAAATGGATCGGACTTGCAGGACGACGAGCCGCGGACTTCTTCATCCCAATTTTGCCTCCAACTGTGATGCCAAATCGGACCAAATTAATAAGGTATTCTGCGAAATGCATAGTTTATTCATTTTTATGTTTAGATTTGTTTATCCCTACAAGATAATGAGTTTTCACTAGCCTATACGAAGTATACCATTCATTAAATGTGGGAAATTATGTCCAATGGGCAACGACTCGAGGAAAACGTTTTCGGATTGTAACTTCATTGAGACATTAAAATTGTCTATAATTTAAAAGTCCCTCTAGTCCACGTGCCAATTTTTCTCTGTTTGGTCTATGGATGATATGCTCCTATTTTGTTGTTCATATTAAACTTTCTCTTCCGGTTAAAAAGGCCTTTGTTCTGGTGACCATGCTTTCGGCATGGAGACACACGCAACTGACTTCTTTTGCATAAATTCCATCCTCTATTCATACAATTTCTTCGCGCACTCAATCATATCTCAGGCAAGTCAGGCAAGAAGAAGAACATTTTTTAATACAGCACGCTTTGCGTATGGTTAAATGGGAGTACTTTTACCAAATGTCATATTATTTGTATTCAACCCTCCTACACTTTTGTAGCTGCAAAGAGATCTGACCTCAAGAAGAAAATATCAACTGAATTCACTGCATGCGTAGGACCTTGCCTCCTCTTCCACGTGGATTGTGTGATAATATCGAGCTCCATGACTGGGCGTTTGGCACACCCAAAATCGACATGATCGACCATCAGGGCAGTCGAAGGAGGCCAATTTACAAGTTCCTTTCAAGCAAACTTCCCCTTCGAAATTGCAATTTGTGTGAGACTAATTCGGTAGATGCTTCTCCGAAACCCCATCTCTTCAGCATACATCCTCCCTCTACAGGCCGGTGTCTGTGTGGCCCGAGCCTGCTCTACACCGAACCGCTGACTGTGCGCCAAACGGTCTTTCACGAGCGCCAACAGTGTCACAAGTTTTGACGAAAACGCATGAAACCACACCGAAAACATGTACCTGATTGGCTGTTGAGAGACGCGCTGTTCCCGCTGGGCGAGTGAACGGAGTCTAGCACAGACCGAGCCTCATCTGCCGTAAGAGGTGGCATTTGTGGTACCAACTTCCGTTGTTGCCAAGTCGAAAAAGTGGGGAAAGTCGATCGGACAGAAGGACGAGATTCGAGACATACACGCCTTTTGTTCGGCTTGCTTGACGAGACCGAGTAATCGGACCAAACCCACTGCCCCGGTTCAAGGTATCCGCATGACATCAAGAGGGCAGCAGCCCCACAATCTGCTCAATCGTCTTCTGCCCTCATAAGTCAGCACTTGAGGCAAATGTCCACAAATGAGCTCGCCAAATCACACAATGTCTCAGTGAGAAGACAGTGTGAATCCCATCCTCCGACGCGGTCACAAACAACGGAACCTCCTTACACGCCAAGTCACATCACCAGAAGTGCATACACACACAGACAGCTCAACACTGTTGACCTCGCAGGCATTTGGCCAACCGGCCAAACAAGGTCCGCATAAAACTGAGGCTCGCCTCTTTGGTCTGGCTTACCCGTGACGGCGTCCAGGCCCTCGGGGACATCAGCAGGTTCTGAAAGAAGACAGAAGAATAAACAAAATAAATTAATACAGAATCACTGCTGCTAAGACTTCTGACTACTATTAATAGTATGAGTAGTAGTTAATCTAGTACCAGTGGTACTTTAAGAGTTATTAGTTGTATTGACAGCATAATTATTGAACAGTTTTCATTATTAACAATAACATCATGAGTATTATTATAATTATCATCATTCGTAGCAGTAGTAAGCCTATTGCTAGTGGTACTGGTCGAAATAGTGAGTTGTAGAAATGCGCTTATCATTGAACAGCTGGGTTGTATTCATCAATGAAGTATGAAGTAGGTGGTATTTGAGGCGGGGAGCAATTCTGGAATAAAAGGGTTAGCCAGTCTTGATCGTCTAAAGAAATTCAGGAGCTAATGGGTAAGTTTCTTCCCGCAATAAGCTGATTAGGACTCACGATACCACCACATTTCATTTGGCCGTCTCATCTAAACAGGACTAGGCTGAGCTTCCATTTCAATCTTGAATCAGCATCCTTAGCGGGATTTGATAGAGGGTTGAGAGTGTCGTAACGACGTTACTAATTCATTGAACCAACACTCCTTAAATCACTTTTAGCGGCTTAGGCTGACTAAGTTTCTATATTGGAAGAAAACACAGGTTTCAAAGAATCTTTTGAGATAAGATTGTTGTTCTATATCCATTTATATTTAAATTTTTTTGCAATTAGTATTTATTTCATTTAGGAAAGAGCCGATCAGTCTTCCTGATCTTTTGGTTGTTGACTTGAGACTTAAAAAAAATGAGTTTCAGCTCTGATGACGTCCGTCATATTATGGACAATTGCTTAATTCGTCTTCATTCAAAACGGCGGAGAATGTCACGTGGTAAAGCAAGACGGCTGCAGTAAAACGGAAATCAGCATTCATTTTCTTCATCATACACCTTCATACGAAAAGATAGTTACTCAACACAAAAATGACTAAGTTCCTATTCAAGACTTGAAGATAGCCTAGAACACTACTTGAATCAGAATAAGTAACGTCGCTGATTGCAATGCCAAACGCATGTTGGCTATAAAAATGTGATTCATGCGAGGCCTGACTTGGCCAATTGGCACCGGCGGTGCTCACGAACAGGGTTCGAGTCCCATTCGGATGACAATTAGACCCCGGCGAGATGAAAACTGCAGTTTAGCTTGGCTTGGCTAAATCTAATGGTATAGTCTGATCAGGTCCTCAGATTGTGAAAAAACGCAACTGAGCTTTAATGTTATAATTTATGCTCGTTGGCCCAAAGGTTGATAGTGAGTAGTCAAGTAGTGGTAAATAAGAGTCAAAGGATGCGTTATCTTTTAAAGTTTCGGCGTTTTTTTCTTTTTGGTAGAGGCTATACACATTAAAGTTTGTTTGACTTTGTTTTCGTAA